ATCTTGCCTGTTGATCTTGAACATGTCTCAAAAACCATTCGTATGTACAATAAGGGAAGAATAGGTATCGTAATGTTGTATTAGGGTCAGGCTCAGATCAGATCTTGTTTTGATCTGTTCTTTAACTTTGTCCGTGTTTAACACGACAGGGCTTGCTTGCCTTCTTCTGGGAGCCTGGCCGCCATCGCCCCCTCCCCCACGTTAACAATGGTGGGAGGGATTTTTGTGGGAAGATTTATTGAATAGATAAAGGATGATTTACTTTGCATGTTTCTTTTCCAAGGAACCTTTTGCAAATGCTAATGTGGAATTTGGAAGGAATGCACCCTATGCATTGTCAAAACGGAGCAGGGTGGGTTCTCCCAGGGACAGTAAGACCTCCCAAAGGGTGAGCAGAGCCAGTTGGGGAAAGCCACTCTGGGCCAGCCCCATAATGTGCTAAGGGGCATACTTTCTGTGAGTGCGGAAGGGTTGTATTTCACAGCTATGGTGTCACTGGAGAGACATATTTCATGTCTTGTCTATCATAACCACGAAATAGGGCTTCTTAAAGCATGAGAAACCCTCTCCAAAATTTACCATTCTTTTACGCAGCAAGATTGAATTATGCAGATGAACTACAGTCTATCGAACAGTGACTGAATGGTTGAGCGACCTTGGATGTCAACACCCAGGAACCTGGAATGTACTGTTGCATAATCTCCTGTTAGGAAATGTTAATATTGGAAAATGTTAATACGTATGTGGTTTTGGGTTTCCTCCTTAAATGTAGTTTATAAGACGTGCATAGGCAGGAGGGCAGTGAGCCATTACAGCACACACATTTCTGGTTGTATTTCTGGCGAATACATTAAATTTATTGTATAGTATAGAAACCACACCATGCATTATTTTGGCTCTAAATATTCTGGTGATATCATAAAATCTAGGAGTTTGGGTGTGTTGCTAATGACTAGGACATAGGACAGCCTTGTTTGAGAGGAGGGTTCAAGCATTTCTGCAGCTGCCCTGAGCGACCATCCACATTGACCTTCTCATGTTTTCTCAGATTCTGTGACTTTAACAAAGGGATCTGCTCTAACCTTTTGTATTTTACTGCCCTTTCATCTTCTTGTCCTGGCCATATAATCTATGGCAAGCTTGTTAATTTAGAAGAAATATTCTTCTTTTTTTTAAATCCATGCATATGGTCGGGGAGGGGTGTGGAGTGAGAAGATGTTGACAGTTCAGGCCTGGCCAGAAAGGCTATGAGACACATAAAACATCACACATTTACAGGGAGGAGAAAGAAAGAAAAAGAGACAGAAAGAAGAAAGAAGGAGAGAAGCAGAAGAGCGAAGAGGAGAAAGAAAGAGAAAAAAGCAAACCGACGAATGAAGTAAGTATATAGGACTAGTGACCTTTCAGTCTTCTGAATATTACCCAGGCCCTGTGGCTGCACAATTCTCATTAAATTCATTGGGAATAATCTGGCTAAATCCCTTCTTGACTCTTAAAAATAGCAGGAAACAATATTCTGAACTTAAAACAAATTTATAGCCGCTGTGCGCCGAGCCCAGCTGCACTTGAGGAACCTATCTTGCCCGCATTTGAATCATTAGCACCGTATATGCACAAGGATTTGATTTTGGAATCTGGTATTCAGAACTTCTTTTGAGGATGTTAACTAGCTTACTCTCAGACAGGTCCTTCAGTCCAATAAGTGGAGGTACTCAAGCCCTTACAATCCCGGGTCACGAATCGACCCTCAGCTGCTCTAGGGGTGTTTGAAGATACACCAGGGGAGCCGGCTGGAAAATGCAGGGTTTCTCATCATTTTCTGGGAGAGCATTAACAGGCTTTGATGGGTCTGATCACAACCCAGACAGTATATGAGTATTCTATGCCTACCGAGTTTATGATATTGATAAGAATCCTCAAAAATGAAACCTTAAGACTCAGCTCAAGTCTGTGACGGCTTCAGCAAAGTCAGACTAGATGAAAGTTTAGGGGTCCAATTGGCTGCTTGTAAATATGCCTGAAGAATCTGAAACCTGCAGAGCAGTTGGATCAAATTATCAGAGCGGTGGGTCCCACCACTGGGTGAACACCTCAAAGCCAGACTTGGCCTTGGACTTGGCACACACGCAAGGCCTCATGAACTGCTCTAACCATGGGCTTAGCTAGAAGGTGACAATGAGCAGAACCCCTCCAAGAAGGTCCATTATCTGCAAACACTGGGAGACAGATTCATGACTCAGACAATGGAAAAACAAGAAACCGAGATGATTTGGAAAGGACTCTGTGCTGACTGTGGAACTCAAAACCATAGCAGACCCCCTCTCTCAGTAAGTCCTGTGGTCTGAAACGAACTGGTTCAGATGGCGGTGGTTATGGGTCTTCCTGGTTCAGGATTTGCCCATCTGTGCTCTGACCACAGCACACCCCACCTGATGGCTGGCCCTTGAACTCATACACCAACCGCATGTGTTCAAGAAGTCATTGCTGACCTTCAACATCCAGCATCCAGGGGTAAATTACCCCACTTTGGAATCTGGTGTAGACCTTTCTATTGTCTTCAGAGCTGTTGTCAACTTTCAGTTTTTCAATGATCCCTAGCTCTTTTGATAGGCACGAAGACAGAAGAGATGAGGTAAGTTCTCTTGCAATTTCAGAGGGCTGTTAATTAACTCTGGCAAGAGAAAAAACTAATAGGGCAGTTAACATGTTTGTCAGGTTACCAGAACTTCAGTTTGTCCCCTCAGCCCTCTTCCCTATCACAGAGGGTCCCAGAGAGCCAGCTGGTGCTACTCTACAGAGAACCACCGAGAAGGCCCAGGACCCTCAGGGAAGGCAGGACGCACAGGAGAGGCCAGACTCCTGAGGGTCCATGCAGGGTCATGGCACAACCTCGAAGGCCCTATCTTCTACCTTGGAAAGATGTCCTTTGGACTACAGTGTTTTCCGAATTTAGGGGAACAGACGCTCTTCGGTTTCACCTTTCGGTCGCTGGGGGTATGTGAGGCATGGGGTCACAGGAATTCTGTCAACCTGAGCCCACCACAGGGAAACTCGGGGTTAAGTTCAACTGAAGAGAAGTTTGTTTTGCAGTTTAATAGGTCAATGGTGACAGCGTCCTTTAAGGAAGCATACTAATTAGAGCAGCCCTTTCTACTTTCTGCCTCGCTGGGCAGTGTCATACTGTTGAGGAAACATTGATATACACCACACGCCCCATTAATAAATGACTGTGGGGGCCAAGGCTCAGTGCGCTGCGATAAAGGAAGTGGGAGAAGCTGGAAAACTGACCTGTTCACCTTACTCTAATGATTAACTTGCAAGTATTTAAAAACTCTGATTGCTTGCATGGACGATTTCCCTTCGTGTGTGTCCATGGGGAAGAATTTTACAGAATCCTAACAAAATACAAAAGGTGGGGGGTGGAGGTTACCATTTAACTGCTGCTGTCCCCCAGTAAACAGCAAGTCATGGGTCTGAGAAGTCATTAGGCTGTTCTATTAATAAAAGGAGGTGAGGAGGGGGGGTGCCACTTTCTCCGCGCACAATCATAGCCGTGGTTTCCGGCACCCCCATTTCGTGGCACGCCCACTGGAAACGCTGTTGTCACACTGCCAACTCCGTGGCAGGCAAAACTGACAAACTTTGCCTGTCTCGGTTTTGCAGGATTGTGATGAAAATAAATAGTCAGGCTGCTGCCTGTGAGATTTCCTTCTCCTGGAGTTTGCAAACACAGTCCATGTCCTAGATGTGCTGCGTTAAACAAAGTATGTTACCCAGTTCCTTCCGTCGAGAGCTGGGATTGTCACCATTTGGCAATTACTGATGGAGAAGGAAACCTCATTCCCTGCTGCATATACATGTGGATGAAAGGAAAGCAATATTTATGGCTCATGCTTGGAGACCAGATGCTGCGTGGCATCTCTCTTCTAGGACTTTGAGAGAAATTGAAACCGAGAAGCACGCACGGCCGAAGCGCTGCTTGGGGGTGGGGGGAGGGGAGAGGCACACGTGAAATCTACCCTATTTTCTGTGTTTTTTATTTTTTTTTTTTGATACCTGATTGTATGGTGCTGTCTATGACGGTTGGCTTCTCTGTGGTCAGCACAGTGGTACCGCCTGAAAAACACACAAAAAAGTAACATACGAAAATCAGGAAGAGGAAACATTGTGCATAATATGCAGTAAGGAAATGCTGTAGGCTCAGGTACATCTGTTCAAGGCAAATCTTCTCCCCAGAAAATCTTTCCTTTAATTCCACCCGTGGAAACCGTTTTACAGAGATTTTACCCACTGCAAGATCAAGCGTGCATAAACCACGATTTTGTCCTCAACACATGTATTCCTAAAAGCGTCCAGGCTGTACGGAGGGCCCGAGACTTCGTTCCAAGGGCATTCCCTGACTCCCCGGGCTAAGCGTGCTACACAGTTGGAACCGTGGAAAAGCCAAAGCCTCCACACGTCCTCAGTGACTTGGGAATTGAACTCGACCTGGGCCTCTGAGCTTCAAATAGTTTCCCAAGGTTTCAGATGCGCGCCTTCAGGGGCGGCGCCGGGCTGCTCCCCACAGTCTGTTTGGAAAACTGAAGCTTCACGTGGGTGCCAGGAGTTCCTTCTTTCTTTAGTAGCTGAAGTGGTTTGTTTTTCCCAAGGACAAATATTCTGCCCAGCATGTGATTTGGAGAAGCTGCGGGAGAAGGCAGGAGCAGAAACACTGCGTCACAGGCCGGGAGCCCTGGAAGGTGGCTCGGATGACCTCCTGAACCGAGTCGGCTTCCAATCAGCTGGGGTTGACTTTGGGATTCTGGGCGAAGGAACCAGGTGACATTTCAGCTTCACCCTCTTTTGTTCTGCATCTTGCTGCTACTGTTTTCTGCTCCTCCTCATTAAACTTCTGGTTTTTTTGTTTTGTTTTGTTTTTTTGCTTTTTTTTTTTAAGATTTTGTTTATTTGACAGAGAGAGAGAGCACAAGCAGGGGGAGAGGGAAAGGCAGGCTCCCCACCAAGCATGGAGCCTGATGCGGGGCTGGATCCCAGGACCCCGGGATCATGACCTGAGACGAAGGCAGACGCTTAACCGACTGAGCCCCCGGGGCACCCCTAAACCTCTGTTTTAAGGTAGTGTTTTTGAGTTTTTTTTTTTTTTTTTTTTTTTTTTAGCTCTTACTTACTTTAATTTGAACAATGGAGTTTCACAGTCTCCTTGAATCCTATGAAGATTTTACTAAAATCACAGACAGATGTCAATGATTGCTGATATATTGTCCAAATACAAACTAGATTTTGCTTTTTTTTTAATTTTATTTTTTATAAACATGTAATATATTTTTATCCCCAGGGGTACAGGTCTGTGAATCGCCAGGTTTACACACTTCACAGCACTCACCATAGCACATACCCTCCCCAATGTCCATAACCCCACCCCCTCTCCCGGGCCCCCTCCCCCCAGCAACCCTCAGTTTGTTTTGTGAGATTAAGAGTCACTTATGGTTTGTCTCCCTCCCAATCCCATCTTGTTTCATTTACTCTTCTCCTACCCCCTTAACCCCCCATGTTGTTTTTGAGTTTTTGAACTTGCCAACCATAAGAATCACCTGAGGGCCTGCTGAAGCTGTAGTTGCCAATCCACTAATCCTCCTCAGACCTCACCGAACCAGCATGTCCAGAGGTAAGGCCTTGAAATCTGAATTTTTGAAAGCTCCTTAGGTGAGTGTTAGAACCTACTACATATGGGAGACACTGGCTTGCTGTTTATTACTTAGGTGTTTGAGAAAAGCCATTTCTCCTTGCCTGTGTCTGGTATGGTCAGAGAGCATGTATTTGTTGCCCCAAGAGATAAGACCTTGGGCAGACTCGGGGGCAGGGCAAGGTGTGGGCTCATGCAAATCATGGAGAGTTTTGGAGGCGGTTCTCAGGTGTCAACGTACACCTTCCAGTAGTATCGCTCTGTCAAGCTCTGTGATCATTTCTATTCTGCCCAGGCCCCGCAGCTTCCACAGATCAGAAATCATCCCGATCGTGAATCAGAGAGCCGTAAAATCATGCTCTTGGGATGGTGGGAAGAGTTTGGAGCTAATCGACTGCAGTACCAAGTCATGTTACCCTTGGTCTCCCCATAAATATGCTGGATGAGCGGTCACAGGTGTGCGTGGCCTCAGTGAGGCAGGCGCTAGGAAGAAGGAATTTTATATATTATGGGTTAAGAAGGTGAATCTATAATGGCAGAATTGGAGGGAGGCCAGAATACATTAGCGTTCTGTTCCCAGTGGTCTTAGGGGAGAAAGACTCAAGGTGAAAATTCACTTTTTTAAAACCGATATGCATTATCAGTTTTGTTATAGGTTGGGAGCCAAATTCTGCTGTTGAGTACACACAGATCCAATGTGAAATTTGGCCTCCCGGTGCCTTTGAAACCAATTGTATTATCTAATGACTTCAAAGGCATTTGCAAATGAGTAACTTCAGGGGTGAAATTTCACCTTGGCAAGCAAGTATGGGAGAGCGCAATCTCTCCTCATTTCCATGCATTCGGTACAGTTCACCTGGAATTCACTGTTGTTTGTAAGTAACAAGCATATTGCTAAAATACTTACTTCCCACCATATTCAAAGCATTACCCCAGGAGGAGAGATTGAAGTGATGCTATCTGCGTGAAGGAACCAATCACTGTGCGAGAGAGAATTCACCCTAATTTCTACCTTCCCTCCACTCAAGGTTAAAGTGAGGAAGCTTTTACCTTGGCTCCGTCATACTCAACGTGCCCAGTTTGAGGCTTTGCCGGTAAAGGCTGTGACAGAAGGAGCAAGGAAGGTGCAGAGCTGCGCCTGAGCCTAAACGTGAGCTGTTCCTATGCGAGAGCACACCTGGATGCTGGGAGGCTTCTGCTTCCCACAAAAACTTCTACACATGCGCACACCCTTTCTCAGAGAAGGAGAACCCATAGCTCCATAAAACAAAATAAGTAAACAGAAACAAAAACAAAGACAAAAACAAAACCCAAGTTGGCTGTTAATGTGATCAATGAAGTTGAAACATGAGATTCCTACTGAAATCACCTCTTCTTGATGGTGGCAGGGAGCGGGTATTAACAAGACCTCTGGAAGTTCCTAATATATGTATATATTTAGAGATATTGAGACAAATGGGCTGACTTGAGAAAATGGCTTTTCTTTTTTTTTGCCACGGTAATGTGAAAAAAAAAATTAGAACTTTTTTCAGTGTGACCAATAAATGATTTTAAATGCTGTAGATAAACTATAAACTTGTAACTCTTAGAAGACTGTTAGTGTTTCCACTATAAACGACCCATTTTCTGTGGTGTGTTACTCGTTGCCGTACATAATTTGCTCCAGGCTAACATACTTGCCCTGTTTCATTCAAAGGCTTTAGTTTCAATTGATTCAGTCATGAACTGATGCAAAAATAAGAAGGTTGGTTGTTCTGAAACGAGGAGTAAATCTGAGGCTTTGTTTCTAATCAATATTAACTGACCACTTTAGGGTTTATAAAGAAAGAACCCTCTCCACAACAGGGCAATTGAAAGGGTATACTGTGATGAGTATAGCATTCCTTTTTAGGAGGAATTTCACTACTGATGTGTGATGGGGTCCACGAAAGCCCTGAGATCTGTGGCAGAGTGTTTACAAGCAATCCTGGGAAGGTTCCACAGGACCTGGTTCATAGAATGGTACTCTGTTCTTAACACCAGCTGTAGGGGTTTCAGCTTGAACTTGACATCTCACAAAGAAAATGCCTCTGCATTAATTAGTTTTTGTGGCTTGTGGCTACTTACATACAGGATTTGTTTTCAGAAGCCCATGGTAACATTTATTGGCCCTATGACTGTAAGTGATTATCCTGGAAATTTGGAGGGGGGCAGCCTTGGAAGCTGGGATTTAAATGGAAACCTGGTTCATGGTACAACATTTCTAAGCTTGATTTGACCCCTTATTCTATCTGAGAGTGGAGCTCTCTCGTTCCTTCAGAGGAGAGCTTTTGAAGTAATTGGAAATGTACTGTGGGACGTTTCCTTGTAGATTTCATATTAATGCGTTAGCCACTAACATGGCACTCTTATGAAGTTAGATGGGAACGCCTTCAGTTTCGCCCATGGAAATTAATTATGTGGGCTCTCTGAGTCCCTTCTGGGTAAAAATACAGACCTGCAGCCAAGGGCTCATGTTTAATGTAAAATGAGAGTCAGATGCTAGATGAAACTGCATTTTGACCTGGGTGGCAGAAAAGGTCCCACAGTGCCTTTGGCCACAATCGGGTGAAAATCCTACTGCCTTGGCGCATTTCCAGCTGGTACAATTCCATTTCCACCCCCCTTGTCTAATATTTCCTCTGCCATTCCAAGGAGAAGAGAAGGTCACTTTCGAGCTCTCAAGGTTTTAGAATGTTACGGAGTAATACCCTAAATTAATTAGTGAGGTATTTGGCACACACCATCCCTGATACATTTGCTAGTTGTTCCTGATGTGAAATAAGAATTCTGCCTTTGTAGGTTTTAATGTAACAGGATTTACAAAATCCCCACTTAAAAGCTGCATTTCAAATAGAAGCCCAATTTCATCAATTCGTTGGGTAAAGGTTCCACTCAAAACATTTCACCCTCGTTAGAAAATGAAAAGAAACATTCTAAAGTGTGTGGTTAGTATGGGCCATGCGTGTGGTATGAGGGTGGGGGTTTGGAGATAAGGATGAGTCATGCACATTTAGCCATGGTGGAGAAATTCTTATTCGCTGACCATCCTAGCCTCTGGCTCTGGAAATGGCCCAATTATTGTTTTGCATGGTGGTGGCAGGACAGCAGGAGGGAAGGAAGATGGCAGGAAGGAAGATGGCTCCACAGCTCTGCCACCACCCGGACCCCGGCCATGGTCATGGCTGGAAGAAGTTACGTGAACACACACACACACACACACACACACACACACACACACACACACGAACTAGCCGGTCTCAACCCCAACATGACTGAAATGGCACAGCAATGGGATGAGGATGGTTTCTGCACCTGTGAGCTGGAAGTCATCACCTGTGCCGCTGTGGCAGTTGGCCTGGTCGTCATCACATTCATCCACCAGGTTCCCATTGGGAGTGGTTGGTCCAGCTGTAGGTGCTGAAATGAGATCCAAGGATTATGATCTCACACCTCTGCAATGTACTTACAGGGCTCTCGCTAGGGAATCCGCTAACGCCTTTGCAGAAAACTCTAATCCATGGTAAGAAGGCCAGGAGTATGGCTTGCCTCTCTTTCAGGCACTAAATATACTTGGATTTAGCAGAATGCATTGGGGACTGCTTTGTTTTGGTATTTGATCACTATCTGCGGAGGAGAGTTGGCAGCCCTAGCATTTTATACATTGTTATCTACATAAACATCCTTTTTCTGAAAAGTGATTGAGTTCTCTCACTGGTTATTTATTCATGACCCTGGAATTGAGAACTTTGATGAGAGAGATCCTGCTTCAAATGTTTCTCCTTTCATTTTCAATGTGCTAGAGAACTCGCTTGTCATGAATTCTTTTACATTCTTAGGATTTGCTAAGTTTGCTAAGTTGGTATTATAATTTTTCCTCAAAAGGGAGTCTCAAGATTCTCTTTTAGGACAATATTGTTCTTTATTTTTTTTTTTAATTAGATTTAATCCATTTCCCTTTAAGTAAGCTTCACAACTTGGGGCAGGTGTTTGAGAGGAGTTGTCTTAGATATCCTGGGGTCATTTTCCCTGAACTCCCTAGGGGATTGCATTCCAACCCTGGCAGGTAGTCCTGTATCTTTGAGCTTGTAGTTGAAAAGTAGCCAACATTAATCAAAGACGGCTTTTGAAGTTCTTTAAATTTAGTTTGGTCTATTATTTTTCAGCCTGTTACTCATTCTTGCAATCTGTTTAATATTTTACAGTTTTCGGCATTACATTTCACTTTACAAGACTTGTGATAAGGTACAGCTCTCTTGATGTCTGAGAACACAGACAAGACACTGGGAGCGGGTGTGTGTGGGGGCGGGGTGGAGGGGCTGTTCTCTGAGAGCTTCTGGCCAGTAGGACTGTATTGGTAACTGCTTCTTTCTCAATAAAAATTTGATATTCTTTGTAATTGTGCTTAATTACTGAGCAGAGTTATGACAAATATAGAAATGTAGCTAGTTTCAACTTCCCTAACTGCCCAGGACACACACCAATAATAGCTAGGGAGAATGTGCATTCCGTCCAGGTGTACAGTGTAGACTTTGTACAATGCCAAGCACACATTCTGGACTCCACTTGTCGCTATCACTGAATCAAGAGAACCCTTCCTGGAGGTCCAGATGCTCGTGACACTTTCAAGTATTTAAAACTCTCTATTCATCTTCCTTATGGTATTTATCGAGAAGGAGTTCTTCATTGGAAGAGACCCAGGGTAGGACATGGTTTAAACTGAAAAAGTAGAAAGTGAATAATCTTAATATCCCAACTTTAATACTTGAATGTACTTTCTCTTCTGTGATTCTCTAATTATTTCTCGTAAATGCTAGCCCGAAGTAGGATGGACATGTGTGCAAGGCTGAGATATAACCCCCTGTCTTTCTCTGTTCCTCTAGGTATCTTCTGGAGTGTAAGGCATGGAGTAGATATTTACTAAGGGCCTGTTAATCATTTTAAGGAATTAAAAAAACAAACAAAAAAATCACTCCCTTTCACCAGTTGTGTCAAAAAGCTTTGACATTACTTTCCCCGGATGTTGGCTTCTCCTATGGCTCCGGGCAACTTCCTCACTTTTGAGAGCCCTTGGAAACATCTGCAGCAAATCTCTTCACCAACCATTTCTACCTCACTACAAGAGTTGACACTTGCAAACTGCCACCAGCCTCAGTCTTTTCAACCAACAATTCATTCCACCTCTTAAATCAGTGTTGCTTTCCAGAATCCAGGCTAATGACCTGCACCATAGTGGCAGACTCCCTTTTCCAGATGAGCACATTTCTCAGCCAATGGAATGAACATGTCTGCAATTGGTTTGATCTGCCTGTCTCTTCTCTTTCTCGGTACCTTTGCCAAAGTCCTGGCACATAGTCATTCTTAGTCTGTGTTGATAGTGACTGGATAGTTCAGAGGTCTGGACATGGCTCCAGATATAGAAACAACTACACAATAAAGAATGGGAGATAATGGCCTGCTTTAAAATAAATACATACAAAAGTAGCTATGAATTATTCACTAGGATGGTGATTTATAGCTTGAGATTCTCTAGTGCATAAGCAAAGTTTTATGATGTTTAATGTGCTCAAGAATGTAATTATATTTGAGTAGCTCAAAACACAAATAATTTTGAAACCACGAGAAGGTGATATTAAAAAGCATTCTTCAAAACAAGCATGAGCATATGCTCAGTTGATTAACATCTGGGAACCAACAATAGCCATCCTCAGAGCTAACCTGAAGAAAGACCTTTATGGGGATGGAAAAGTTGGTTACTCATTGATGCTCAAATCTAAGGCAGATGGGAATTCTAATGCACAAAAGCATTCAATAGTACAATAAACAAACACGGCATCATTTTTTTTCAAACATTCCTCTTATTTATTATGTGATAAAAAGGCAGAGCTGTGTGCAGTTCCAAGGTCAGTGTGTGAAATGAATTTGTCCTTGGTATGACTTTCATATGATAAATTTATGCAGTAATATCCTTGAATGGATCTCAGTGCCCATTCAGACATATTATCTCATGTAAAGTTTTGTTTCTCTGCAGCAGTCTGAGAAATTCATTCAGGATAATTCTGCTATTTCAGTCTGTCAAATGCCCCTTCCCACTAGGATGTGATGGTAGTTACCACTGCAGACAAAAACTTGAATCAGACAGATGGCTGAACAAGACTGAAAAAGTCAAAAGAACTGGTGGTTTCCAGGCATTGAGGGCAAACTGCCTAATGGGTGGGGGAGTTTACTTTGGAGTGATGGGAGTATCTTGGAACTAGATAGAACAATGTCTTGGTTGCATACATAATTGTGAATGTATTAAATGCCCCTGAATTGTTCACTTAAAAATGATCA